TGTTCTGGAATTCCCATTCTTCTTAACATTGTCCACAGTTTTTTAAAATACATAGAGTCAAATGCCTTGGCATAGTCAATAATTCACAGGTAAATATATTTTTGGTATTCTCTGCTTTTATCCAAGATATGCTTGACATTAGCAATGATATTCCTTCTTCCAAGTCTTTTTCTGAATCTGGCCTGAACATGGGCAGCTCTCTGTCTATGTATTGCCGCAACCTTTATAGAATGAATTTCAGCAAAAATTTACTTGCATGTGATATGAATGTTATTGTTCTATAATTTGAACATTCTGTTGAATCACCTTGTTTCTTGGAATGTGTTCAGATTTTGATCTCTTCCCATCAGTTGGCCATGTAGCTGCGGTCCAATTTTCCTGGCAAAAAACATAATAATAATTTCTAGTGCTGCAGCAGTTTGTTGAAATATTTTCATTGATATTACACCATTTCCTGGATCCTTGTTTTGAGCTAATGCTTTCAGTGCAACTTAAACATCTTCCTTTGGCGCCACCGGTTCTTATTCACAAGCTACCTCTTGAAATGGTGGAGTGTTGACTATTGCTGGGAATTTAAAAGTAGATAAGCCATAAGAAGCCCACACTGAGAGGGATGGAGTAGTGCGTGATCGATTTGTGGTTCTGCCAGGGAATAGCCTCTATAATGGAGACATTAATAGACACGTGTCAGTAAATTCTTACAGAGCATGTGCCTTGACTTCAAAAGGGCAGTAAAAATGTCTCCAGGTGGACAAAGCAGGTAAGGACACTGTGTTCCTAGGAACTTGATCATTGTAAATGGTAGCTGAAACATTCATCATGCCAGTCCTAAGGGTGAAAAAGAGTTGCAAATTTAGACAGTAATAAGATCATTTTAGATTTTTTCCGCTGTTAAGTAAAATGCATTTTGACTTTTCCTATAACAGTGAGCATGTAACGAAAACATTTGCATTTTAGAAAGATATGCAAATATGGTATGCAAAGATATGCAGGATATCCATTTGAAAGGAGAAATAACAAGACCTTAATTATTACACATTGTCATTGCCAAGTGAGAGAAAGAGAGGGATTTGAGAGAGCAAGATTTTGTTACATAATTTGTGAAGTCAAGCCGAATGTGAGAAATAGCCCACAGGATGAGTTGTGGAAGGAAGATCCGAATACCTAACCCATCGCCATCAACTTGATCCTGGCTCACAGCCACCCAGATTCTCATCTTTACTGGAGCAGACAGACAGTCTTCATCTTTCTCCTGAAGAGCCACTGGTGGATTTGAGTTACTGCCCTTTCCTTTAGCAGACCAACACACAACTCAGTGTGTGTTGAGCTTTGTTATTGCAGGTGATAACAATTACTTCTTTTTGAATTTATGATACCTATTGAGTTGTAATCTACACTAAAGGCTACAGTCTTTGATCTTCATCAGTAAGTGCTTCAAATAGTTTTGGTCCTTAGCAAGAAAGGTGAGATCATCCACATATGACAGGTTATTAGTGAGGCTTTCTAAAATGTTGATGTTGTGTACTTCTTAACACAGACCAGTTTTTCAGATTAGTTGTTCAGCATACGGTTGAATAAAGATGGTGAAAGGATCCGATGATGCACAGTGGTCCTGATTTCAACCGTACAGCTGGCCCTTGTTCTGTGGCTAGGCTTCCTCTTGCTCTGTGCACAGGTTTTCCAGGAACACAGTGAAGTGCTCCGGGGTGCAAATTCTTCACAGTCGGCACTTTGCGAAGCTCTACACAGTCCAGTGTCTGTGCCTAGTCAATAAAGCACAAGTAAGTATCTTTCTGGTGTCCTCATCTCTCAGCTGAGATCCAGCTGACATCAGCCATAATGCCATGAATTTCTGGGAGCTCTTCGTTGATGTACTGCCACAGCCATTTTTGAATTATCATCCACAACATTTTACTTGCATATTATGTTATTGTCTAATAATTTCTAGGAATGGGCACAAATATGGATTTCTTTGGAATGTGCACACACATGGATTTATTTTTTCTGTTTCTTGGCCAAGTAGCTGTGCTCTAGATTTCTTGGTAGGTGCTTCCAGACTAGCATCCGTTTTTCACCATAAAATAGGTGATTGAAAAGTTTGTAACTTTTCAAAGATAACAATCAGGAAACATTGGTATTCACTGTACAGAAACATATAGAAGATTATAGGTGTAGTGTAATTAGCACCAAGATTTAAGGAAAGCAAAATAGAGTCCGGAAAAAGAAGGTAATAAAGACAAGGAGCAATCGCATGTGGTATTGTAGGAAACCATATGCCAACGAGGAAGAAAACAATACTAGCCAAAGCTTCAGAAAATAAGGACTAAAAGATGTTGATGGAAAGATAGCAAATAGGACGTTACTCATTGTTTTTATGGTGTTTTTATGAGAGTGCCCTCATGAAAAATGGAAGAGCAGACGCCATAAGAGCAAATGGAAGTTGGATTTGACAAAAATCACATGTAAAGCTTATGGCAGAGCCTGAATACTTAAATAAATTGGAATGGCCTGAGAAGAGTTATATTTTGCAGTGAAATTGCCAAAAAGGGGTAAAACGGACAAATCAAAAACCCCATAAAAGAAGATATATGTATTTAATAATTTTTATATACACATTTGTAGTAAAAATTAGCAAAATATGAGGGGGATGCAGGCACTGGGAGAGGTATTTCAGCTCAGTTGCTCACGAAAGTCGTCCCAAATCACAGTCAAGAAGGATACCTGTGACTAAATAATCCTTGAGGATCACCTGTGGGAGGCAGGGCACTGAGAGAGACCAGTGCAGTCACAAAGAGTACACATATTTTCTAACCTAACTGAGAATAGACATCTTTCTGGTATCCTCACCTCTCAGCTAAGATCCATCTGACGTCTATTCAGCGGAAGACAATACACGATAAGGGAAGAGAAAAGCCATCAGGAATGTATACTCAAAGTACCATGACTGAATTTCAATTTAAATGCGGTTTCTGATTAGTAGCTTTGATACACTTCCTTCCGATTTTGAAAAATTAGCAACTCACAGCTGTGAGAAGAACCAATACTTATCTAACACTTACTATGGTCTGCACATTGTTGTAGATATTTACATCCGTTCTCTTAAAATTGTCTGGCTAATTAGATACCACATAGGTTATTATGTTCACTGGACATGCTGTTAAGACAAAGCCTATGGTGTGAATTTCATGAGTATCATTTACAATAGAATTGTTCTTGAATGTAGCTGAAACCAGGTACTAGTGAAAACTGAAAGGTATTGACTGAAAGGATAGTGGTAAATTCATAGAATCATCAGGAAGATATCTGGGCAGCAAGGTCAGAAAATGACGTAACAATGAAGGCCATATATCTAGATGCACTCTGAGTCCGAACTGGGTTCTAGGAAACTAACAACATGTAATGGAAGCTTAAAGACAGCACAACAAACAGCTATGAATGTATAGACTAAATGAATAAACAGATCAGATCCAAATATATCATACCAATAAGCCTCAAACTCTTTGATGTTTAATTGTTTCTCATGTAGAGCCAGTTGATAGGATGGGATAGAATTTTCCCTACAGGATTTCCAAGGCTCTGAGCTTCACAATACAGACAGCCACAGTTTCTTCCATGGGTGGCTGGTGGGTTCAAAGTGGCAAATTTTGGTTAAAGTCAATGTATTAACCACTGTGCCTCCAGGACTCCTATGTTATCAGGTTTATTTGTCCTTAATGATACTCCTTAAATCTTCTAATAATGAGAGTTTACAGGTGCAGAGAAAAGGCTTCTGCCATCACTGTTACATATTTACCTTTATTAAGTCCTTATCTTGTTAGATAATGTGCTTCTTATATAGGTCATTAAATCTCACAACAATATCACATGACAAGTGGTTTCATTTGCATCACTGCCCCACCCCCAGAAAGATATTGTTTCTAAATAGAGAAAAGAAAACTGGAGTAACAGGTTAGTTAGCTACTTTATTATATGGAAACCAAGATCCGCCATGCTTTGTACCACCACACAGTATCTCCTCTTTTACTTTTGGCCAAATAATTAGAACCACTGATACAATTTGCTTATTAGTGTTCTGTTAATTAACAGGAAATCAAGAAATACTGCTATGGAGTTAGAGAGACAGCTGTTATTTTAAAGAAAAGTAGCAAATTGCTGGTGCTTATTAGCAGTGTGGCATAGAAGCACAACGGAATAATCACTATTGTAAAATATATAATTTCTGGAAAGTTACCTAAAAGACTGACTAGAGACTTCACAAAAACAGTACCATTTTAAAAATTGCATACACAATGATGTACATTGTATAGGAATGTTGAATATCCATGCTAGTGTATTAAATGATCAACAGAACAATTATGGACGTGTTGTCAAGAGAGACAAAGTCCCTGAAGAAGGGCATCGTGCTTGGTAAAGTAGAAAGGTAGCATAAAAGAGGAAGGTCCTTGAAATTGATGGCCTCAGTGACTGCAACAAATGGCACAGCTATCGGAAGGATGTCGAGGATGGCCCAGGAGCAGGCAGTGTTTCCTTCTGTTGTGTACAGGGTCACTCTGTGACCTTCTCAAAGGCACCTGACAAAAACAACATCATAAATACTGTACAATGTATCTTTCTAGTCAGGTTGCAAACTCCACTGAAAAATAATTTAAATTTGATGAATAAATCTGTATGTGCCTAATATTATTCTGTACTTTTCAAATTTTCTATAATGAATATTTATTAATACAATAATATTATAGCACTTTCTGCTTATGTTTTGATCACAGTTGCATAATTGTTTGTGCATTCTCTCTGTTTCTTTCTCTCTCTCTCTCAGACACACGTGAGTACACACAGGTAAAACAGTGAAAGACATCCAAAGTGTGTGTGTCTGAGGGAACGAAGACAGTGAGTGAATGCCCATACAAAAGAAACAAAACAACAACTTCAGTAGCCAAGTTATGTTAAAACCCTTCTAAGAATTTACACTTTCTAAACACATAATAAGCAGGAGTCACTGATGGAATTGTGAAGAACTTTATTTTGAGGCGGGGAAAAGGCTCAGAAATTTTTGAACAAAATAAACAGGAAATATATGAAAGCAGGTAATGAAACTAACTGACGTGCATAGTGTCTTAATAAAAGTCAGCAGCTAGAATATAAATTACTGTTCTGAGTTTGCCAGAGAAATTGAACATGGCTTAACAGTTGCTACACTGTAGAATATGTGAACACAAGAATACAAGCAATGCCTTTGCAATATTGTCTTCAATAAAAAAAAACTATATAAAATAAGTTTTAATTATTCTTTGGAAGTCTGTATATATAAGGAAATTTTGTGGGTGCCAAGTTAGTCAACTTAGTTTAAATCAAATTATGATCAATAAGAGATACGTTTTCACTATCCTTTGTTTTATGAGCTTTATATGTAAATACATATTTTGACAGAGCACTTCTTTTCTTAATGTATTATTTCCATGTCCTGGTATTAAAATATATGACTGTAATTTATGAAGAACATAGTTTGTGATGTGGCATAGGCTCATTTTGTCATTTCCCTGGGAAATTTAAAGACAATTTGATTTTATAATTGCAACTCTTGATTTGGCCTCTTGATGTCTTTCATAGGCATTTTGAAAGGTGATCATGTCAAAAACAAATTTTTCTTCACAGTGTCTTTTATGTATTTCTTCAGCCCTAGGAAAAAGGAAACAGAAATGTATTTAAATGTCAAAACACAGCAACTAATTAAATAATTAATAATATTTGGGTGCATGCTTTTCTTGTTGGTTCCAGTCAATTTACACTTATGGGGAGCCAGGTGTGCAGATTAGAACTGCCCCAGAGGAGGGTCAAGACTGTGCCCTTTTGGAGGCCATTGCTAGGTCAGCTGCCAAGGTGCTTCTCTGACTGACATTGGGTCACTTCTGACTCACGATGACTCTATAGGACAGAGTAGAAATGGCCCTATGAGTTTCTGAGACTATAAATCATTATAGGAGTAGAAAGCCTTGTCTTTCTCCTTCAGAGCATCTGGTGGTTTGAAACTGCTAACCTTGCTGGTAACAGCCCAGCATATAAAGCACTACACCAGCAGGGCACCTTTAGGTGCTTCCAGATGGCTTCAAACCACCAGCCAGCCTTTCAGTTCATGATAGAACTTGTCTCAGGGCATCAAAATAGATACATGGAGGTAGGAAAAAATAATTTAACTTATTCCACAAAATTCTGTTTTATGGCACTCAATAATATTTACATTAGATTAATAGTTCTAAGGCTTTTATTTGTTAGAATTTAGAATGCTGACACTCCCTTGTTTAGGACTCAAAATAGGCACCTAACTCAGTCTATGTTATGATTTGTAAAACAAAGGTTCACTAAGCTCATGATAAGCCTCTAAGGTTCTCTGCTATAAAGTTGAACTGTGTCCCAGACTATAACTCTTTAGGGTAGTCAAAAGCCTCATCCCTCTTCTTAGGACATACTGGTGTTTTTGAACGGCTGACCTTGCGTTTAGGAGCTCAACATGTAACCACTTCCTAGAAATGCCATAGACCTTAGGAAAAATCATTCATCCATCTCTATCAATTCAATCAGCAATTAAAATAGCTATGTATGCTGGAAACTATCCTTCAATGCTAGAAATATACAGAAGAAGCTCACATGGTCTACAATTGTGATAAATTAATAGAAAATAAAGACCAAAAGACATATGGCTATTTAAATAAATAATTCTATAATAAAAAGTATTGTGTAACAAGAGTGAACCACAGGAGAAAATTGGTAAATAAAACTTTAGGGGCTGTATGAGACCAAAAAGAAAAATAACAAAATTTTAAAAACTTCCCTCATTTTGGATGCTCTCAAACGTAACCTCATTCTAAGCTGGATCATACAATTCTAGAAAGGATAGCAGACTACAGATAAACTGGAGAAACAGACAAATGCCCTATTGCAGAGCCCTGGGTGTGTGTGTGTGTGGGGGGGGGTATAGACTCAGAAATCTGGACTAAGAGAATGAAAGAGATAAGTCTATTAAGATTTATAGTGGCTAGTCGCTGGATGAATAATAACGGCTTTCACCAGGCTAGGAGATGTGGGAAGAGCAACAACATGAGGTAGAAGACTGAAGTTATGTTTCAGTCATGTTGAGTCTAAAACCCTAGCCAACCATGCAGTAATGCTTGTCACGTTGAGAACAGAGAAACTGTAGCTTGTGATGAAAGGTATAGGTAGTAAAGTAACATTGCTTGGGTTTGAAATCCACCTCTGTAACTTATGCACTCTGATTTTGCACTCGTAACTTAAGCTATCAATATCTAATTTATGACTATCTTATTTATGACTGTAGGTCAAAATAAGTCAGATAATTCAGTAAAATTAAACGAGTCAATATATTTTAAATCTCTAGAAGAGAGCTTGTGCTTAATAATCATGCAACACAAGTTGCCTTCCATGTTTATTTATTCGGCATTCAGATGGTTAGAATGGAAGATGCAATGACTTTGGAAGCACTGGATTGAACAGACCAATAGAAGGGTTGAATGAAAGAATCGTGAAGTCTACATTACAATTGAAAAAAAACAACCGACAAACCTACAAAGGTTATGTGATGATGGGTATCACAATATGTTAAAAAAAATTAGAATGGGGAAACTAAATGATGCTCCGAGGATGACATCCCTGCTGGGAGCTAATGGGACACAGAGGGGACAGGGAAAATGACAACAGGACGTAACACGTTGTCCCCTTACTGGACCAGACTGTGACAGAGGACATTCCTGGGGTCACACGTGGGGAAGCAGTGTGGTCTGAACCCCCCAAAATGAAGTGAATCAAGAAGGGAGCATACCTGGATAAACAATCTGGAGGAGAAAACAACCAGGCTGACTGTTCAGGGAGGACAAGGGAGAGGGGGAAGGAAGTGGTGTTAACAAACTCAGGGACAAGGGAACAACAAATGGACTGAAATTGGCAGTGAGGAGGGTGTAGGAGGTCTGGTAGGACTTGATCAAGGGTAATGTAACAGAGAGAATATGCTGAAACCCAAATGAAGGCTGAGCATGATAGTGGGACAAGAGGAAAGTAAAAGGAAATAGAGAAAAGAACTAGGTGGTAAAGGGCATTTAGAGATAAATACAGGCATGTACATATGTAAATATATTTATCTATGAGGATGAGGAAACACATCTATATGCATATATTTATAGGTTTAGTATTAAGGTACCAGATGGACATTGGGCCTCCACTCGAGTACTCCCTCAATGGAAGAATACTTTGTTCTATTAAACTGACATTCCATGATGTTCACCTTCTCCACACGATCACTGAAGACAAATGGGTGCATAAGCAAATGTGGTGAAGAAAGCTGATGGTGCCCATCTATCAATAGAAATAGCATCTGGGGTCTTAAAGTCTTGAAGATAAACAAGTGGCCATCTTGCTGAGAAGCAACCAAGCCCACGTGGTAGAAGTACACCAGCCTGTGTAATCACGAGGTGTTGAAGGGATCAGGTTTCAGGCATCAAAGAAGGAAAAATCATATCATTGTGTGCTCTTCTTCCCAATATGATTGCTGAGGACTAATGGGGGCATAAGCAAGTGTGGTGAAGAAAGCTGATGGTGCCCGGCTATCAAAAGATATAGTGTCTGGGGTCTTAAACGGTTGAATATAAACAAGCAGCCATCTAGCTGGGAAGCAACCAGCCCCACATGGAAGAAGCACACCAGCCTGTGTGATCACGAGGTGTCGAAGGGATCAGGTATCAAGCATCAAAGAACAAAAATCACGTCATCATGAATGAGAGGGAGTGCAAAGTGGGGATCCAAAGGCCATTTGTGGGCAACTGGATATCCACTTACAGAAGGGTCTCGGGGAGGAGACGAGTCAGTCAGGGAACAGTGCAGCAACGATGAAACATACAACTTTCCTCTAGTTCTTAAATGCTTCATCCCCCCAACTATCATGATCCCAATTATACCTTACAAATCCAGCTGGATTGGAGGATGTACACTGGTAGAGATGGGAACTGGAAACACAGGGAATCCAGGACAGATGAACCCTTCAAGTCCAGTGGTGAGAGGGTTAATACTAAGCGGGGTGGAGGGAAGCTGGGGTAGAAAGGGAGAACCCATTATAAGGATCTACATATAACCTCCTCTCTAGAGGTCGGTCAAAAATTGGGTGAAGGGAGACGATGGACAGTGTAAGATATGACAAAATAATAATGACTTGTAAATTATCAAGGGTTCATGAGAGATGGGGGGAATGGGGACGGAGGGGTAAAAATGAGGAGCTGATGCCAGGGACTCAAGTGGAAAGCAGATGCTTTGAGAATGATGATGGCAACAAACATGCAAATGTGATTGGCACAATGGATGCATGGATGGACTGTGATGAGCATCATATGAGCCCCCAATAAAATTATTTTTTAAAAACAGCTAAGAAGGTTTTCACTGTAAATAAATATAGAATAGTTTAGACTTCAAGACGTGATACCATTCCAATTGAAGATAGGTCCTTTAAATATCTATGAGAAAAAGTTTATTATAGTAAACCCAATGCCATCAAGTTGATTTTGACTGATAGTAACCCTATAATACAAAGTAGTAGGGCCCACAAGTTTGCCAATGCCGTAAATCTTTATGAAAGAAGATTGTCATATCTTTCCCCAGTGGAATGGCTGATAGATTTAGACCACTAAGCTTTTGGTTAGAAGCCAAGGACTAAAGCACCAAGCCACCAAAGTTTAGGTGGAATAAATGGTGTGATGAATAGGAAAAGAAATATTTGGGGTAGCCCATGACCACCTTTTATCTGATATTTAGGCTATTTCACTTCAACATATCTTTCTAACTCATGTGTAGAGAGACACTTGTTAATAGTCCCTGTGGTAGTTTTATCAAATACTTGAATTAGAGATTTATGATTACCTTTCTTTTATTCCCCAATATCCCACTGAACAGAATCAAGGAGCAACATTCCCTGTAATGGTATCACTAAATATGTGGAATGATTTTAGGTCAAGTGGTCATAATATTAAAATTAATTAAGGATCAATAACAGAGCAACTAAAAAGATTGAAAAAAATTCTGAAGTCTCAGGATAGAATACTTTATTGAATTGAAGTTTCTTTCTGCATGTTAATACTCGCGGCCTTTGAAAAGATTTATAGGGAGCTCAATAAGAAATGCCTTTGGGATATCTGCTTTATCTTTGTGTGATTCAAGAATATTACCTTTGTGCAACTTAATAGAAGTGATAATTCAGTTAAGACCATTTGCTGTTCACTTAACTCTGTATCATCTAAGTATTAATGATGGCAGACATTCGATTTTCTGTGACAAAGCTAAGCTAATTAACTTTACCTAATATTTATTTGCAATAGAATTGTACTTTGACATGGTATGATGATATATACACACAAACACATACACAAGCACACCACTTGCTATTGCAGACCTTCCAGGTCATGATCGTCCCATGTGTGACAGCATACAACTATATTTCATAAGGTTTTGAATTGATGATTTTGGGGGAAATAAATTGCTAGATTTTTCTTTTGAGGCACTTTAGAGTGGAATCAAATTTCAGCTGAGTGCGAGCATATTGACCATTTGTACTCTCCCTGCCCACAGACATGTATCTAGATCTTTCATTCTGGTTCCAAACATATTTTGTACTAAATAAAGTACAT